GGGGGGGGGGGCATGGGCATCTTCCCGCTCCCTGCCCACAGAATGAGGAGATGGAGAGAGGAAAAAAAAACCAACCCAAACCAAAACAACCAAACCCCCCAAAGAAACAAACCCAAACCCAAGGAGGATGCTCCCCAGAGCCCAGGTCACAGCACTACAATCAGGGATCGAGCCACAGACTGACTCCTGCTTCTTGACTGGCCCAGCTCTCTGGGGACAGCCCCCGGCTCCACCGCTCCCTTCTTTTTGGCACTTGTCACTTGCTCTCCACTTGGCACCAGCACAAAGAGCCCCTGTGCCCACCCTGGCAGAAACATGGCCCTACAGCACAGCAGGGACAGGACCCCAGGGCTCCGGTGCCAGCACTGCGCAGCCAGAGAGAAACATGTAAACGAGCTTGTTCCCAAAGGCAAAGACAGGCACCACGGAGGGGCCCGGCTGTTCCCGGCATGTGGGGGCGGCAGGCTTTCCCTCTGCGTGCCGGTCCCGAACAGCATGTAAACATGTTGGCAAGCCCTTCCAGAGGAGAAGGGTGGCAGCTAGCCTGCCTCATCGGGGCTGTGCTGGGGGCAGGCAGCCCCCACCAGGCCCATGGCACCCCCATCACCCAGCCCTGCTGTTCACTCCACGCTCTCCCCACTGACTTGGGGACGTAGCCGAGAGGCCGTGGCCTCCCTTGGGGCCTGGAAGCCAGCGGCACACGTCCTCTCCTGTAAACATGTCAGGCTGGGCTGCAGTAAGATGCTACGGCAGCATGGTAGTAAGGCAGTAAGGAGCGTGCTGTCACACAGCCCCAAGAGCACCACGGGGACAGCCGCGCAGAGGCACCGTGCTCGGCAGGTGAAAGGGAGCGTGCCAGCCCCCCTGAGCCAAATGCCCCTGGCCCAAGGCTGGGGTAGGCACAGAGGAGTGTCGCCTTGTGGCAGGGCCATTGGGAGCCTGGGGCCAGGCCCCCGGCCGAGGAAAGAAACCATCAGGGCGGCCTGAATTTCCAGAGAGGGCAAAGTGCTGTTTATCTCCATTTCCCAAAATCCAAGTCACTCTGAGCTGGGGTCCTCTGCCAGCCAGAGAGTGCAGGGACATGTGCGTATGTATGCACAGCCTGCAGGGAACCAGCTAGATACAACTTCTGTGGGCAGTTCTGGACCCCTGAGACTAGAGCCACATCATGTTCCTGCAGATGCTAATCCTCTGCAGGGCGAGCCCTGGCTCTGGGAACAGCCTAGCCTGCTGCTGAGCAGGACTAAGGTCATCCAGCTCCTTGCCTGGACCCACAAACCAACAGAGGTTTGCTCTATAACACGCAGGTTAAAAAGCACAACATACAGTGGGTAAAAACATAGTGCTCATTTCCTGAGCGGAGGAAACCAGTGCTTATAGGAGTGGGACCATCCTGGTACAGGACGGGACTTAACAGCAGAGCTTGTTTCCTCCCTGAGCGGGTCCCCAGTGCCAAATTTGCTGCCCCACTTGCTTGTGCTCTCGCTGGCACACAGCCCTGGCTCATGGATGGAGGGCAGCCCCAAGAGGGTAGAGGGGGGGCCTGGCTGCCCGGCCAGCACAGCTGCAGGGGGCTGAGGGACGCCAGGCAGGGGGACACGTGTGGAGCTGCACGGTGCGAGGGCGAGGGGCAGCGAGGCCAGCTGCCCCACAATGGGGATGGGATGAAGCAGTGCTGGCAAGGCCATAAGGGCTGCCTGGCACTGTCTCTCCAGTCCACTGGGATTGCGGTCCCTGGTACCCCCAGGGAAGCTGGCAAAGGGCTGTTGGTGAAACAAATGCTCCAGGTCCTGGGAACAGACCATCGGTAAAAATAACCATAGAAATTTCTCTTCTCTCTGATTACAAAGATACAAAAAGGTAGAAAACCCTCCCCTGCCCCCACGTCCTGGGCTCCGTTTCCGTCCCCCTACCCCTGCCCACCCTCCGCGCACACACACGCACACCCCGCATACAAATGGCTGGTGGAGGAAGAGCTCGGCCCCAGGGGGGTCGGAGACACCATCCT